AAAGAGACAAGAAAGTGAGAGAGTGACTGACTGGAAAAACAGTAGGAACAAATCTACTTTAAGGGACACTCTTTTTTTCAAAACGTTCGTTTTTTTATGCTTTTTACAAAAGTGTTTGAAAAAATTGGTGGAAACTTTTAGTTCAAAAGTTATTGCATTTTAAAGTTTATACGCCATAAGAATAAAAATAACTCCAAAATTATTTTTTTTTTGTTAATTTTCGGCTTTTTTTTTCATGAATATATTGTGAAACTACAATGACGTAACTCTTACGGAATTTTCTCTCTCAAAAAACCCTAAAAACCAAAAATAATTTGGAAAAAAATAAGGATTTTCCAATTATTTTTTTTTCCAAAATTACGCAATACAAAAAAAATGGGTTTTTCATACAGCCATTACGTAATATCCTTATTCTAAAAATCCTAATTCCAAAAGTAAATAAAAAAATTAGAATTTTCCAATTTTTTTTTTCCCCAAAATTTTCAATACATAAAAAATGGGTTTTTAATATGTTTTATATGAGTGATTACGTAATTACATGAAACCCAATTAATTTAAATAGAGCAAAAAAAAGAAGACCACGATGTGGTGTTATTTGATGTGTTTTTGTAATTAGTTCAATAAAATAACACGAAAATAAAAGTTTTTACTCTATATTAGGAATACTAAATCACACTTGTTACAAATAATATAAAAATTTAATTACAATTGATATTGAAATTTTAGTATTTCAATGATCCCGATACTGACGCTCACTCGAATACCATTGAATGTACTTGGCGCCACGCTAAAGTGGCATTGCCCAATTACAGGCGTAAAAAAGAATTCTATGGTGGCTACTTGGCCAAGTACATGTTTTTTAAAAAAAGGCGACAACGCAAACTTGATCCCACTATAGAATTTTTTAAAAATGATCGATTTTTATAACATATATAGGCCAGTCAACAAACGAAAAATGACGGGAAAAATTCCCAACAGAATTTTTGTTTAAAAAAAGTTGAATTAAGATATGTATAATAATATACTAAAAGTCCTCATTGATTAGAATTGAGCTTTTTTTTACAGCCTCGCAAAAGTTCAAAAATATGAGCTTTTTTAATTTTCTCAAAAAATATTTAACTTATAAAAAAAAATTTCTCTTCATTATACCTACCTCATGTTCTCTTTTGTCAACCTAGCCAGAATATCTGGTAATGATAAAATTAATTGTCATAAAGTGTATAAAATTGGTACTCATATTAAATGTAATGTAACTCGAAAAATATTGGTTTAAATGAAAAAATATTAGATACTTTTTTTGTTAAAATTGTCTTTTAAAAAACTTTTGTACGAAATTTTTTTTTGTAAGTTAAATATTTTTCGAGAAAATTAAAAAAAGCTCTATTACAATCAATGAGCACTTTTAGTATGTCATTAAACATATCTTAGTTCAACTTTTTAAAAAAAAAAAAATTTGGTTGGGAATTTTTTCTGCTATTCGCCAAAATTACTCCTTCGTTGACTGGCCTAATATTATTTAACTACAACCACAACTTTAAAGCACTATAACTTTTAAACCACACGCTTCCGTTCAAAAATTTTTACATATTCTTAATCTGCATAAAAAAACGAACGTTTAAAAAAAAAATTTTTGAAAAAAATAGGATGCCCCGTAATCTAGATTTATACCAAACAGTGTCTTTAGCCTTTACATAATGTACCACAAAAGGAATGAACGGGGATTGGGCGTCTTGAATGTGTCATACTTTTTATAGACACATTCAGTTATCATTCTATATTTCAACAAACGCAAAAGAGTTATTGTAATTAATTTTCCCTTTTAATTACTTTATTGGTGCCTCGAAGACGGCAAGAAAGACAATCATTCACTGTTACTTTATAGTTGCCAAAAGTCAGAATTAAATGTGTAATTGTGTTAGTGTCTTCTTTTCTATGGTCTGAGAAATAAAAGAGGTATTGATTTTTGTAATATTCCAGAGGAGAATATTACAGTTATGATAAAAAAATATTATTTAATGACAGCAAATTATATAGAAAATGTTTAGCTCAGAAATTAAATTTAAAGTTTGGTGAATAATAATATCGTTTAATTATTATTTAAAGAAATTATAGTATCTAAAATTCAAACTATTATTAAATAAAATATATATAAATACATTTCTATTCCATATGGACATATAACTAATGTAAGTAAACATAAGGTTGTATTATCCAAAATTATCATTTATATGAAGTTATTCGATTTAACCTAATTCATAATAATTAAAATATAATAATATCATGACTATAAGATATAATGCTGATTCAAATGAATTGAAACACTCCCTACACATGGAAATCGATATAGTTTTACTAGAAGCACTCGTCAAAACACGAATGTATGAGAATGTTCCTGATCTAGTGCCCAATAGGTACAAGCAAGGAGAAAACTTAGTCAATAAAGAATTATTATTGAAAGAAGTTTATGAAATACCACCGGTAGCTATTATAGAGGAAATATTAAAAAATGATAAAAAAAATATACAAAAGATCATCCAATGTTTAATACATATTAGACAAACAAACTGTGACACAAATTTAAGTATAATAGATAATAATACTGCATTTAATATAATGACGAAATTTATTCAACAAGGTGAAAAGTATGATGATGATATAACACAATGAAATATCAAATATATAAAATTGAGAGATACAAAGATTTAATTAAAAACCACGGGCAATTGTTTCTCTTCAAAGCCTATCCTTTAAATAAAGTTAAATTATATATTTACCAGAGACCTAAAAAGTATTTTATGTATAAAAGAATATTAAACTCAGTTATGAACTATGAACCAAGAGCCTGTTGGAATTACAATGTATTAGGAAATTTTATTAAAGGACTCTTGTTTATAAAGCTCCAAAAAACAGGAAAAAAATTACATTACTAATAAAACATTGAAAAATTTGAATAAGTAAAGTATTTAACATATACTTTAATTGGGTTAATAAAGGGCACGACGCCATTTTGCGAACTTGTAAACTAGTGTTGTCTACTGTATTGTGCTAGGCACGCTTGTGTTTCCCTCGACAACGCTTAACTTGAAATTCGGCAAATTTATTTTCCATCAAAAACGATAATATAATTCAATTATTTGGACCTCATCATTAGAGAAATCTTATAAAAGTGCCATTTTTTCTTCGCATTTCCTAGACTTCTCTACGAGTTCTCTTGTTGCTTTTGTTTTTTCAGTTTTTTTTTACTTGATATTAAATCAATTCATACCTAGAGAATGTTGTCATTCAACTATATTGTTTGAATTTTATGTAGATGAAGTGCACTCTAGAATGTAATAACGGTATTTAGATGGCAAATACAATTATTATTAAAAATATCTACATTTTATACTTTTAAAAACATTATTTTTTGAGATAACCATGTTAATGGGTTTTCTTTATAATTGTAAAAGTTCTATAAAGATTGATGATTGTGAATACATGTAGCGCAAAATCAATTTTCTACAATGCGTTAAACATTATAAAGTACCAATTATCATTTTACAGAAATCAATAGCATTTTAACAGTCGAAGAGCTTCATTACAGATTTGAAAAATAGTAGGTGATTATAAAAAACTCTTCGTACGCTTATACCTAATGTTTCATTATACAAAATATCTTTTAAAATATAAATTAATGCGTAGTATCGTTAATTATTATTTATTTCATTACACCATCGAAGATCAACCGTTCCATATCATCAACAAATTCATAGAAGAATTCAATTTCATAATAAACCCTCTTATACTCGGACTAACATTCCTTATAAACAAAATAGATATCCTATTATCCTATTATTCCTACTACACAACAATATCATTATTATCTTCCATTGATTGTATCATAATTGTATAAATATAATATTGTATACTAAACTTAGTAATAATATATTACTAAGTTTATAATATATTTGTTACGACTGTGGACTGTATTTTAATTTTTACGAGAATAATATTACTTAGGTCGCTTAACTATGAATTAATAAAATGAACTTTTCTATATGTGAATAGTGAGGCATTTATTAGGAGACTGGCTTTTCTCCGCTGAGTAAAACCGATCGTTCGCTTATCACAATATAATAATAATGAAAAAAATCATAATAATACTCATATAATAGAGCACGCCGCAACAATATTATTGTTTTTATTGTACGGCAAAACGGGTAACTTGAAAATTTGTAATATTTTTAAAAAAATTATATTTTGATTATTGGCATATGTTTAAGTTTTTTGAGAATAAAAAAAAATCTTTAATTTTCCTCGTAAATGTAGGTATTAATAAATTCATTTTTATATTATTATTATTTTTTTTTAATAGAATTTATTTCCTACTAAAATTTTTTTAAAAATTGTGCTAATCGGTTATTTTATTGCTTGACTATACAAAACTCATTTTCAATATTTAAATTTGTAATTTAAACTAAAAATCGATTACAATAAAAACTAGTTGATGAATTTTATTTGCAAAGGATATAAAAATGTCTTATACTCGTACTACCATTCCTTATGAATAACATAACATTTTCTATTATTCCCACTAAAAAACAATATCATTATTATTTTCCATTAACTGTATTATAATTGTATAAATAAAAACTCAGTAATAATATGTAATAATATGTATGTGTTTATAATATATTATTGTTTTATGTTAATGTATGGTGTTACGATTCTCACACAAACACGACTCAATTCTCAGGAAACGCTAAAAGTAATATTTCTTTATCTCCTACTGTTATAACATCTGAAAACGTACTAGACTGCGACATTAATCCAGCGCTACCTATTGATCATCAAAAATATTATAGCCCTGTGCTATAATATTTTTATTATTAGGTATATTCAACATTTTTAGCAATGTAGTATATCTGTTTTCTACAATAAAAGTAAATGATATACCCGATTTCTATTCTTCTTCCATTTCAACAATTATTTGAAAACCAACTGATTAAATACATTATTAAAATAATATTATTGCATTCATTCAATCCAATCAAATAAGTACACGAACATATTTCTTTTGATTCATAATACTAGTTTGATTAAAAAAGCATATGCTTCAAGTAATCGTATTCTTCAAGTAGCAATATAAGTAAGCAAATAGGAATACAAATTATTTTGAAAAATCATTATATTTATAATTATTAAGTTACGTAAGGATTTATTTATTAAAATAAATAAAAATATATTAAGTTAAAAATTAAAAAATCTAATATTATAAATTGAAACTTAGAATAAAAATATCACATTTACATTAAATTTATAATTAATAATATTTAAAATTTATTATTCGATTATATTAGTAAAAATGAAGAAGATACTACTGCAATTGTTGATTTTTCCTGTGAGTATTTTGATAAAATTTGTTATATCGTAGGATAGATAATACTTAATACTCTGAGTTTAACACTTTTTTAAATACATTAAGTTATGTTATTTTTTATTCGGAAAAATTAAACCTAAACTTATAAGTGTTTTTAGCAACTATATTTATATGGTTTCTTTGTGTTAATTATTTACATAAAAAATTAAAATTAAAGAAAAATAAATGATCAGCTCTAATGTATTAATTGAGTTTAAGGACATATGACATTTTCCTATACTAAAACGTGCGATACACAATTTTACGTAAAATAATAACGCGCATTGGAAAAAAGTTAAATATTGTTGGAGAACTGAATTCTAAAAGTAAATTAAATTAATAGTTATGTTAAAAAAATTCAAACTAATAAGAGTTAACATTTTTAAGACTCATTAATAATATTATATAATAATAAACTTGTAATAATTTATGCATCATATGTGTATATCTATAAAAATATGTCATTTAAAGCTAAAATAAATATTTATTTAGATTGTACAGGTATTTTTATCGTCAACATTAGAAATCATTAGAACTATTGCAGATAACAATTTGACAAATGCCAAAGAAAAATTATATGAATGTTTTAAAAAAAAATGTTTATTTGAAAGATGCAGAGATTGTGATAGTAAATAAAATATTTATATAAAATAGTGATTAAATTATATTTTATTTTGTGTAATAATGGCATTTAGGTTAGAAAAAATTACTAATTTTCTTTCAATGTAATTAAATTAAATTTTCAATCATTTATTTCACTATTATATTTATGAAATATAAAATATTATTATTATTAGTTTTTATTTTTCAGACAATGGTTTCATAGAAGATTTTGATAAGTACGTAAATGAAGAGGTACAAAATATGTTACTAAATAAGTTTCATCCGGCTAATTTGCCTTTTAAAATCTATAATATTTATTTTCCTAAACCATCAGAAATATCAATACAAAACAAAGAGTTGGATGATACAATAAATTGTGTACAAGTTTTTTACTCACATTTATTTGCTACTACAGTACCACAGGTCAGAGCAATTACAAGACTTAAATTTTCTCGATATTTCTTAAATTTTATATATTAAAATAGATAAAAATGGTTTATATTATATTATTTTATTAAACTACTAATTACCTAATAAAATTGGGTTGTAGATAGAGACTAACGAAGAAATAGAAGAAAAAGTTCGAAAAAATTGGACAATAGCATGTGAAACACTATATGATTGCTTTAAACATTATGATTTACATAATATTATACCATGTTCTTATAAAATTTTTCATGAAAAGACCTTTGATGCAAGGATTAATCAATACAGAGAACATGGAGGTTATTAAAAATATAATAATAGAGAAATTAAAATATTGCATTAATTTATCAACAATATATTATGCTATTGTATTATGTTCAATTTTAACTGTTAATTAAATTTATTAATTATCAGTTGAAATATATATTTAGTATTTAACTAATAATAATTTTATTTTTATATAAAGCTACTACAATGTAAGATTCCAAGTACTAATAATGAAATAATACTTACAGGATATCGCATGAACGAAGAGTTTTTAACATTCTTAGATAGTGTTAAACAAGAAATTATTGATAAAGCATTGACATCGGTTCAAATAAATGAAAAACTGGTCAAGTATGTGCACGAAGAACCGCCACTCTTGACACCAATAGAATTCTGCTCTTCTGCTTTTTATACTCGTTTATTTATGTAATAAATTTTATTTATTGACAATTATTCAAGGATGTGAAACGATTTATTTTTTATTTCTTCTGGGTTAAAAACCTAAATAGAGACGCAAATGTTTTTACGAATAACTTTTAAAATATTACAATTAATAAAAAATGATTCAGATAATGTTTCAGTAATTTTTTTTATAACATTGACCAATTAACTCTTCCTCTTATCCTTAATCCCAACTATTTGGGTCGGCCAAACATTGACTATTAATTGTAAAATCAATAAAACAATTAATTCAAATAACAAATATTTTATTTTTTGTGAATAATTTGTAAAATATTATAAATACGAAAATATTCTCAATTTTTATAAATGTGTAAAAATATATATTGTAAAATAAAGGGAAGTATAAAGTATATTGTATAACTGAAATAATATCATTAAATAAAAAAAATAACACGTTTCCAATTATTTCGACCTTTTTATTAAAGAAATCTGTCAAAAGCGCAGACTTTTCTTCGCGTTTCCTAGACTCCTCTACAAGTTCTCTTGTTGCTTTTGTTTTTTCAGTTATTTGCTACTTGATATAAAGCCAATTCATACCTATTGAATGTTATCATTCAACTATATTGTTTGAATTTTATGTAGATGAAGTACATTCTAGAATGTAAAAACTTGAACTAGTTCTAATAATAGTTCTGTGGAATTTTCTGGATAAATAATACCTCNAGTGTTTGGATAGCAAAAACAATTATTATTAAAGTTATCCACATTTCATACATTTAAAAAACATTATTTTTTGACATGACTATTTTGTACGAGGCAGCTAGACCGTAAAACGGCTAATTGTGCACCGCAATGGAATGCCGTAATACCTTATGCCTGTTTAAATCGCTATTATTGAACCGGAAATGGGTCACCTGGGGATGACGGTTAACTGTACATCCAATAAGTAACGAGAATAGACAATAATTAAATAACAAATAACCACTTATATTAGAAGTTCTTCAAAGAGTATCTTAAATGTAAGCGGTAACGGGGGGCTCTTAAATACCAATGGCCGACGAAGCGACATAAAACAAAATAATTAAACTCAATAAAAACAAATAATAAATAACATTTAAAAATAATATAAACTCAGCTATATAGATGAAGTTATTAATAGTGATGAGTGGACTGTTTGATGGTGTTATATTTAATATTAATGATCACTTTTATTATATGATAAAAACAGTCTCAAATATTTATCATATTTATTAATTTTAGATGAGTAAGTAATAAATTAAATTAATTTCAACATAGTAAAATTTTCAAAAATTAACAACCATAGGTTATTTTTAATTCATTTTAAGTACGTGTATAAATTCATATTGTAGTATAATTTAATAGTAATAGTAGTAGTTTAGTAGTAGTAACAATAATGACTGACAATGTGAGTGAATTTTGTAAAATATTATATCAAAGAAAATGTGTTAATAGCTCATTCGTCTTAACTGATAACTATATATATATATATACATAAATGTTTACAGAGCGTAATGAAATAGCTGATATTGGCATTTTGATATGCGAATATTCGAAAGCTTTAATATTGGCACAACGCTTAGTAAGTCAATGTTTTTCGTTTCGTTAATAGTGTCATATAAAAAATTGTTGGCAAAAGGCAAAAACCCATCGGATCCTTCCGAAACTGGTATGACCTGTTACGAAACAAGAATATTGCATTTATTTGAAGAACACACGAACTAAAACAAATCTAAATTTTAAAGTTAATTATTCACATAATTTATTAAGTAATTTATAAAATTAATTTAAAATCATAGATGCATATCATTTAACAAGTATCTCTTTTTAAAATAAATGAGTTTACTTAATTTATATTGTATATATTGTATCTACAATGACCATGTGTTGTAAATTTTCAAAAATATTTATTATTTATACTGAAATATAAATTTTTAATAGAATGCATTTGGAGTTTATACAAATTTATAAGCTTACCCCATTTATACAATTATTTATCAGTTGTACCAAAATTATCTGGCTTTTATTTGTACAAATTCCCAAGCGTAATGCAGTGTTAATACTGAAATAGTATTTGGAGGGGCTGGATTATTATACCAGTACTAACCGCCAATACCAGTTATCGGATTACTTTTTTGTCTTATTTGGTTTTCCTTTTATTTGTAGATGCGGTTTTTCGGTTATTCGGGATTTTGTCCGCTTTTAAATTAATTATTTTTATACAAAATATAAATAAAGTCTCCTAAATAACCTAAAAATCTTGTCTTATTATTTATTAAATAATGAAAGAAGAATATTTTCATTAACTTTAATAAAATCATTATTTAAGAATTGTGTAATATTAGGAATTTAATCCAAAATACTACTGGTTTATGTAAAAACTCAAAGAAAAAAATTATTTTTTGCTATTCCATTTCCTATCTGTGTATAACAAATTTAATATCCAAAAAAAGTTCCTTTGTTCTTAAACTAGAACATAAAACATTATTTTATGTATATTTTAATACCTAAAAAAATGTGTTTTTATAATAATTACACCAAAAATTTTAAATCTTGTTTATTTAGAATTAGCTTTAATTTATTTTTTTTAAATGTACTAAATTTCAAAAAAAAAGAAAAAATAATAATGTGTATTTTAAAATTTTAAACATATAATTATGTAAATTTATTTTAATTAGCTTACGACGTATTTTAAGGGATNGTATTTTAAAATTTTAAACATATAATTATGTAAATTTATTTTAATTAGCTTACGACGTATTTTAAGGGATTTATAATGAAACTTTAAGTAATATGTAAATAAATTAGTGTATTGATCTCAGTTCATAAACAAAATTTTACTTCTATCATTATGCATTTTTTTTATTTTTATTCATTGTAAAAATTTGTCTATTTATTATAGCTGTGATATTAAATATTAAATAATATTTTCTGATATCTTTACACCATGTTAAAAAGCAAGAGATTATAATATTATTGCTAAAATTGTACATTTTATTTATGTAATTATTTATTTCTAAAACAAAAAAAATCTAATTCGTTTTGCAAAAACATTATAAATTCAAGAAATAAAATCTTTAATTTCATGACTTCAATTTTTTTAATAACATGTTTAATTTTTAGATGTTTTATTTATTTTAATTCTTTGTCATCATTTCTATTTATTATACTATGAAAAATAAAACAAAATAAAAGAATAAAAATTTTTATCATATTTAATTATTTTTTTACTAAATTCATAACATTTTTATCATTCACTTATACTTATCATTTTATTATTTTATACTATATTTTAAATATTACATTAGCTTAAACTTATTAAATCATACTTTTATTATCTTATTATTTACCATTTATAAAATATTTAATTACTTTATTTTAATACCTACTATTATAATATATAACAATTATTTTCATTTAATTTCTAAATTACTAAGATTTAACAAAAACTATATAAAAAAAAGGAAAATTACTTGTAAACTTTATATTTAATGTAACATTTATTTGAATTAGTTTAAGTATGTTCATATAATGTGCACATGAGGGCATGTGCATAAAAGTATTTGGGCGCATCTTGTAGTATAATTATTAACACATGTACTAAATATCATATATATATGAATAAAGCAAAATTTCATCTAAGTAATGTTTCCTTTTTAGGGTAATCAAAATAACCATTTATGAACATATGATTCAAACCAGTCCCCTAAAATTCATTAACTACGCCCACGTCAGGGTTTCTATCATAATTAACCAATCACAAATAATTATCCAACATCTCAGGAATTTCAATAGAGATCGCCAACTTACTTTAGCAGGCATATATAATTGTCTAAGTAGTGATATCCTCTGCCTGTTTACTCGCTAGTCATAAAGGACTATGCCAATTACCTTCGGGTAACGTGTAGGCAGTTTAGGTAAAGAGTATTACTAAATTTATAAAAAAATATTTTTGAAGTGCGCTATATCCGTCGACAAGCCATTTCTAGGACTAGTAGTTCGGATACAGTTCATTATAAGATATATAGTTCGTAAGGTTAGAAACTACACATTGGAAATATCCTCTGCGTGTGTTTACTCGCTAGCCATAAAGGACTATCAATAGATAGTCATAAGACTATGCCAATTATCTTTAGATAACGTGTATAGTTGGCGTAAAAGATAGTTAAACGTGTATTAAAATAATATTTAATATATATTAACGAGATCAACTGTATCTGCGCCAGCCAAGGTATTATGCTGAGAAACGCTGGGGTAACACAGTCTTGTTAATTATATTTTTAATATAGATAGACATATTCTTATAATTATATTTTGACAAGTTCAAAGTAAATTTTAAGAATATCGATATCGACTATAGGAAATTCATTGAAAATATTATTAGTAAAAACATAGTGTAATATAAAAAGAGTTTAAAAAGTATAAAAAAAAGTAACAAATCATAATAGACGCAGGTCCCATTGTAGAGAATCTTTTTTTTTAAATCTAATATGCACACAAAAACTAATTAATCGAAATAAACGCAAGACCTTAATAAGGTCTTATTGTTTATAAGGTCGCCTCTTTTTCTTCCTCGTCTCAATCCCAACTACTTGGGGTCGGCCAAACAATTCTTAACACTGAAACGAAAAATCACCATAAAATTAACTCAATCAACTATTAAAGAAAATAAAGGTAAGTGCGAATATTTATTTGCATGCTTTACTTCTTAAAAATTCATGTAATAAACAAGAATAAGAATAAGAATAAGTTGGATAGGAATATTTTATTATTTTATAACTCAACATAGTTCGACCCCGAGATACCACTTCATCCTTAACTCACTTTTTATTTAAAATACTCATATTTACTACACAGACTATTTTCCCTACACCCCCTTTATATTTTTGTTTATTACTATATAATTTGATTTCATAAAACTTAAGATACTATTTTTTATCACATTAGAATAAAAAAGTACATGTTTTATTAACAAAATAATAACCTATTATATATCAATTTTTATTATTTTTAATAATCATTTTATCATTAGTAGTATAACCTTATAATATAAGAATAAGTCTTTTAAAAATTACACGAAAATAGTTATCAATTATTAATCAAATAACATCAAATCTTTAGCGATTATACAAGTTTCAATCTAATAGTATTAAATATTATATAAAATTAACATTCGAGATAGGATAATTATCATGGAAAAAAATTTATACCTATAACTAATAATTTGTATATAAAGATTATTTTACTTTTTTACTTCTCTCATGAACAAAGGCTACCATTTGATACCGTATAATAAATGCGACAAATTTCAATTTTTTACGAATTTTAAATACTCTAGAATTTTAATTACAAAACATTAAATAGAATATTCTAAATTATTTTTTATAATTTACTCTATAATATGGTTATCATTAATTTTATTTAAACAGTTCTAGTATTTGTTTTTTTAATTTTATATTTTTTAACAAAATAAAAAATATAAAATTTTATTGTATCATTATAGTTCTAAGCTGTAAAAAGTTTTAGAACTAGAGAGTGACGAAAAATTTTCAGTATAAGGTTTTAGGATTCGCAGAATATTGTGGGATATGCTAAATTTCATAATTCAGTTTTTATTTCATTGAAATTTTCAATTGTTATTTAATTTTTCTAAATGTTTGAAAATTATAGTAAACATAAATAATATGAATAATAAAATATTTATAGTTATATTATGCATAATAATTATCATTATACTTGATATTAATAAATAAATATAATAAACTTTTATTTTGTCTATTATAAGTACAAAAAATTAATATGATAAGTCACGTTTCTATTAAAAACGAGATATTAATTCTAAATTAAATTATCATGAACACTTGGTAAATGACTCGATATTTTTAATCAATCAGTGTTGTAACGTGAATTCTTTTAACTTGACTATACCATGAAGTTTTTGACAGCACACCGATTGCATAAGTTGAACCAGGCTTTAAGTTACCTAGCTAAAAATGTACATTATTTAATATATTATAGAATTTTATTTTATCGAGAATCTTTAATTCGATTTGATATGTTTTTTATTCTGCGTACCTTATAAGTATAAGTCGGCTTTTCTTCGGTAACTAATAGTTCAATAGGCGGATAACTAGTACAACATGAATCAATATCTATTGCAGAAACTTCTTCTGCGTTTATTATAAACGAATTAAGTGCACCGTTAAACATCCAAGGGATGTTCCATTCTAGGGAAATGTTGTTGGTGCCGACATAAGTAATCGTCAAATTTCCAGGTTCATCTGGANACCGACATAAGTAATGGTCAAATTTCCAGGTTCATCTGGAGCTGAAAAAATAAAATATTATAGAAACTCAATAGCTACAAAATAACATATGCTAGCAAATATCAATGAAAAAAGTTTACTATAAAATTATACTACGCTTGCACGTATAATTAATTTAAAAATAACTTTTTGTGCATAAAACTATCGAAATTATAATTTAGCCAATTCCAAAGAATTAGTTTCAACAGAAAATTTTGGCCGACACATATATGAAAATGATGGGTTGCTGAAATTATGTTATGCTCGCAAACTCGCGGAGTCTTGTTTTGACATTCTCATAAACACATTTAATGTTCTATTTAAATAAAGAATGCATACATTTTTAAATATATTTTCAAAACTATACAGGATGGCCCACCACTCACTGACAACTTAAATACTTTTGATCCAGTTAATATTTTTAGCTGATTTTTTTTTAAATAATAGTTATACGTTAGGTCTATAGCTATATCTCAATAATTAATTTTTTTACATTTTATTAAAAATATTAATTATTTTTAAATTTTAAACGAAAAGATAGCGTTTTCTTCTGTCCTTTTCTTTAATACGTATTTCAATGTTTAATACCGTAAAATAATATATGAAAATTCAAATTTTCATAAACTTTAAAACGCTACAGAATATTTACTATTGAATATTAATAAGATATTTTTTTACTAAAATTTTTCTGAAATTCTACTCTACAAAATAGCTATCTTAGATTTTTTTTTTACATTTTATTTAAAATTTAAAAATAATTAATATTTTTAATAAAATGTAAAAAAATTAATTATTGAGATATAGCTATAGACCTAACGTATAACTATTATTTAAAAAAAAATCAGCTAAAAATATTAACTGGATCAAAAGTATTTAAGTTGTCAGTGAGTGGTGGGCCATCCTGTATAGTTTTGAAAATATATTTAAAAATGTATGCATTCTTTATTTAAATAGAACATTAAATGTGTTTATGAGAATGTCAAAACAAGACTCCGCGAGTTTGCGAGCATAACATAATTTCNATTTTTAATAAAATGTAAAAAAATTAATTATTGAGATATAGCTATAGACCTATCGTTTAACTATTATTTAAAAAAAAAATTAGCTAAAAATATTAACTGGATCAAAAGTTATTTAAGTTGTCAGTGAGTGGTGGGCCATCCTGTATATTATGATCAATTTTTTTTATAAGTAACTCAATTGGTTAGAACTTTAAAATTTAATATTTTTATTCTTACTTCCGTCGACAGTATTAAAATCTTCAGATGCCACTAATCCACCATTAGGATAATCTAAAGATTTGGCTTTTATCTTTGGTTATAAAAAATCATATTATTAGTTTATCATATAGTAACTATATTATAGTTAATAGACAATAGTTTGAAAATTACTTTAATAGTGTACTGAGTGCTTGGTGTTAAATTATCTATAGTTTCACAATACATATCTGGCCATGCAGTACATCTCGATGGAACTTCGATTGTCATTTGTTTGGAATTAACTTTATAATTAGAAGCAATTAAATGAATTATAAAACCATTTATATCAGACTCGTTATCGTAACTCCATCTCAAACCTATAGTTTTCGTTTTTGAATTTTTTTTGTAAACTGATAAATTTTCTATTGCAGGTAAAACTAAAAATTTTAAATAATTCGAGTTATTTAAGTAAATTCATTAAAAATAAATATAAACTCTATCTTTAATTAAAAAAACAATTCAAAAGTTATGTGGTAAGTAATCTTTGCACTCAATTTCGATATGTACTATATATTTAGCTTGTACAGAAATGGTAAAATAAAATAATTTAAATAAAAATTTTTCTCTCTACTTAAGCCATTGGCTTAGAAAGTACATACATTATTTATTTACTTTCATCAAATATCCAAATAACTATTTTACGTCATGATGTTTTAACGCATCAAAAAATTCAATGTGTATTGCTTTTATATTTAACTTAATTTATATAATATTCTTTAAAATCATCTTACACTTCGATTTTGTTTGAAACGGTACTTTTAACATAAAGTTTTCATTATATCCTTTTTTCGTTTTTATATAAACTTCTAGAACATATGATGTATTCGGCATTAAATTGTTAAATTCTATTGAAGTATCGTCAGTGTCATTTTCTATAATAGTGTCTTGTGCTAAATTCTGAAGTAAAAATATGATCGACAAAAGTTAGTTATATTAATATTTAATAATAATATGTTATATATAAAATTGAAATGTTTATTACAATTGTTTTGAAAAATTACATATGGAAATAAAACCCAAAATAAATCATTTATAATTATGTCGAAGTGCATTAAAAATGTCAAGTTACGTTAAACTCGTTTTTAATATAACATTACAACATATTTAAACGTCAAATGAAAAAAAATTTTTTATCCGAATCCTGTTATAAGACATTTGAGTTAGAGTGGATCCTAAAAATTAAAACTTTTGATTTGGTTTGTAGCACTTAATTATAAGTTACTCGACTAATTGAAAAGAATAAGTCACAAATATTTTGTAAATTACTATAGGATACTCGACTTAGAAGTAAAAAAACCAACTAAATTGTGAAATAATTGTCATAAGTAAAATTGAATATTAACAGAGTGGAATTTTCAACACTTATCAGTATCAAAACTACATAAAGTTGTTAAGTACTTTTTAAAAGCTCACAAATAACCATATAAACAATTTTTTTATAAAAATAAAACTGTAAATTTTCCGAGTTTTTTTAATTTTACGTATATTTTTATCATGATTACATTTTCATTAGCTTTTATTCTGAAAAATTCCGATCAAAATCAAATTTAAATATTTATAAAAATAGTTTTATTTAACATATAAAATTTAAATTTTGTGCAACTATTTTTAGCATCAACATATTAAATTATTAAAGTTTAAAAAAAAATTATTTTTCACATTATATAATTATTTAATTGTTTAATTATTGTTTAATTATCTCAAATACTAGACGTGATGGAAAAAATCTATATCCTAGATACGGGAATCAACGTCAAAAATAAAATGATTGTTAAAATTATTAACAGAATTAGATTATAGAGAAAACAACTATGCGTTTTGTTCATATACGTATTTTCCTCGTTATCTAGTCTATATATTTTACTTTATTCGGAAATGTGCCTTTAAAATATATTTTGTATGTAAATGCTATTCAGAAATTAATAATTTAAAATGATTTTTTGAAATTTGATTTAATACCTTTAATTTGTAATAAAAGCCTGTTTGAAAACCATTCAACTTGACACATTGCTTTTTATCTACTAGCCATTTTATTGTTGCCGTTTGGTTACTCACATAAAATGTACCATTATTGTCTAACACAGGAGAAGTTCGTGGTGCTAAAAAAACACAAATTAATAATTCAGTATTATATATTTATATAAAAATGTCAGTATTCACTTGATGGCGCAGTCATCGCGTATATAATGTTTTCATTTTCACTATAATTATAACCATTTGTAATAGGCTCCACTTTGATGATGTATTGGGAATTTGGTATAAGACCGAACAAATAGTATTCAGTAACATTGTGTACTATAATTTCTTTCCAGTCATTGTTTATAATATTATATGAACAACTGAAATGCCGATTTACCTAAAATTGTAATAAATTTATAACAGAGTGTTAGATTAGAAAATAAAGGAAAATATGCTTTGTTCAATTAACCTTGTATTTAATTTTATAACTTATTTCTGAATTTATTAGTTCGCCTAGTTTCCACGATAAAAGTAAGGAACTCTCAGAGTTTTGACCGAACAACACTGAAATGTCTTCAATATCAATCAATTCTGTTAAAAATATTAATTGACCTATTGAAGTTATTGTATTTTGATAAAAAGTTTTATATACTTTGATAATCTTACCAAAAGTTTCTGTAGTCGCATATTTTACATCTGAAACATTTATTGTACCCAAAATCGTTTGTCCTATTAATTGTACAGCATATGTATGAGATGGTATTAAATTATTAAAAACGTGTTCATTATCCTTAATTAGTATCTCCTCTTGAAATACCGAATTTTCGTTCCGTGTTAAATTAGACATTAATTTTAAAATAAATGATGTGATATTGCACTCGTTGACATCATTTTTTCTCAACTAAAATATCGATTAAATATAAATTAATATATTAATATAGTTAATATGTTATGTTTTACTTTTTCCCAAGTAACGGTGATATTGTCGGTTCCTGGAGTAAGTTTCATTCCGTAGTTAATTTTTTTTGGATCTAAAATACATTTAAAAGATTTTCTTAAAATAAAATTTAACGTAATTTTTATAAACACGCTGATAGCATTTGTTCTGGATAGAAGTGTATTCGAAATATTGAGTAATAATATTTGAGTGTCATAAAATATACAAATATTTTTATTATTTTTTTATAATTATTTAAAATGAGTTTATCAAAAAATAATTCTGGTACACCGATTAAAAATAACCAGCCATTTAATACTTCTTTGAACAATATCACTTCTCAGCGCCGTGAGCTTTCTTAAAAGACATTAGTAAATTTCTAAAATCGTTGAATACCTCTATTAAAACTAAATTTGATTTTCTCCATGAAAATTATCTAAATACGAATATTGGTTCAGTAAATTGAAAGTTTTGTTATGTAACATAACATCAAATTATTGGGCTGAGTTGGAAAGTCTTGGAATGACAAAATATAAACTATGCAAAATATAACTCTACTTAGTATTACCAATGCATACACAGGGGAATCAATAAGCATACTCATGGTCTCAGAAATTATNTGTGTATGCATAGGGGGAATAAATAAGGATACTCATGGTCTCAGAAATTATTGAAAATTAAAAATTTTTGTAAAGAAAAATATTGTAAAAATCTATACAATAATTTGTAGTTAAATAATTTTTTATTCATGCCTTCAGGTAAAAACAAGTTTACTATCATATATTGTTGAACAACCAGTGTTGAAAATTTTTTTGATAACTACCCAAGTAATAAATTATGGGCCATTAAAACAGATTATTGTTTCCTCCAGTTATATGAACACCAAATTAATTATTATTTTTACATTGAATCTAAATCTTTAACCAATTTTAANTTTGAATCTAAATCTTTAATCAATTTTAAAAAATGAATGGTTTAAAATAAAATAATTATAAGAACAAAATTGTTTGTAACTTTTATCTTCGATGCGAAGCTGAGAAGGTATTAATTTTATTATAATATGTTAATTTATTTAAATTTTTTTAATATCTGTCGCCATTTTTTCTCAGCTCTCAGCGGACCGATTTTTTTCAGCCATACGTCAAAAAATCATAAATCATATCTAGTTGCAGTCATTATCCTTAAACACTCTCGTTCCCTGTACATGGAAGAAATATCCCCAAAAAGGTTTATTTTTAAAATCGGTAAATTTCGACATTTTTTAAAATTTTTTAAATCTGAAGGAAACAAAATCATTTTTTTTAAAATCATAACCTTTAGGTATTTCCTATTCATTTGGTATATTATTGAATATCTGACCCTTTAACACAGTGGGGATTAATAGCAACATTTACATAAAAATTCAACTTTATAAACTTTTCAAAATGCTCCGGAAATATTTCAAAAATATTTTTAATTAAAATATATGTTGCGTACTCTAAGTTAAAAAAAAAAATTGCCCCCATGATTTCTATGTGCAAAAGGCTACCATATTTAAAAAATATGCTATTTTTATGTTAAACTATTCGATTTTATATTTTCAACTTGATATTGTTATGACTTTTTGAAAATGTATGTATCCATACAATTGTTTTGTGTACTTGGTAAACACATATTCTTTTATCTGAAATATTTTTTTTTTATTTAAAATGCCCTATAAAGGGGATGCTACAGTGATGGGGCCGCTGATTTTCATAAATGCTATTTGAATGAAATTTACATTGAATGATTTATAAGTTTAATGCATGAATAATTACTTGTTATAGTAATTAAACTTAGTATGAAATTTATATTGAATAATTTAGTATTATAAATTTTACGAAAAAATTATAAAAAGTTATTGAATACATAATGATTCTTTTAATATTAGCTATGTTAAGAAAATCCTTTATGGTATTTTTTAGTTTCATATGTTTCTTGATTTATCAATTAGAATAATTTTTTAAATTCATCCTATATACCTTATTAATGTATCAACATTATTTCTTTTAAAGTCAAAATACATATTTAACTAGCTTCTAAATCATAAAACTTATAATTAGAATATATATAAGGAAATAGAATTTCTTGTTGATTTTTGAATAATTCAATAATTTCTTATAAAAATCAAACACTGTCCACAGATTTGCATCGAAGCGTATTTTATTTTAGTGATTTTAATCAATGCCAGATATCATCTATAATTGAACCAACTATGCTACGTTCCCACTGTTCTTGGTATTTCATAATGTGTATAATTTATATTTTAATTAATATTTAAGGATTTCGACTGAACTTTTTAATCTATTGGGTGTTATTACTGTATTTTTTTTCTTATTGAAATAAATAAATAAACATATATACAAATATAGATATTGTAACATGTTAGAGGTTTATCGTATAAATACTTACTAAAGCATTGTGTGAAATAGTTAGCAGTGTTTATATCATCTTTATTTGAGTTTCCGTCTTTTGTAATCAATATTACACCAACCGTATACATTGTTCCTGCTTCTAAATTGCTTATTTTGTTTTTAAGAAAAAAAGCTTCTTCATCTATATCTGTTATTGGTAAATACTGAAAATCTAATTCACTTGAAGTTGGCTAATATAAAAAATTATAAATTATTATCGTAATTTATGATTAACTCTAATTATAATTAGATCAATAATTATAAATGGTNGCTTATTTACATTTAACCGTAACTTATGATTAACTATAATTATAATTTGATCAATAATTATAAATGGTAAAAGGAAAGTTCGAAGAAATGTCGATTCTTATCAAAACAAATTTAAGATATTAGGCAAACTCGAACTAAACTAATTTAGATCAACATTTTGACGGTTTGTATCATCTCTAATTGCCAATAATAAATGCATTATAAAATATTTAATTTTTATAATTATTTTTGAAAACAATTTTTTTGCTTTAAATTTACCATANTATTTTTGAAAACAATTTGTTTGCTTTAAATTTACCATAAAATTAATTTATTACCTTGTAAACAATCTGATAAAATGATGGAATATTACTTTTGCTTCCAAATATATTTTCATTTGTTAAATTTAAAATTAAATTTATTGAATGAAAATCTGAAAATTCCAATTTAGGTGGTTCGATTAGAACTGGATATTCTGTAATAATGAAAACAAAATTTTTATAAATAATAAATTGCAAAACTTCATAATGTAATTAAAATTGTTAATTACTTTCAATACAATATGGTAAAATGAAATTATTTTTACATCCTCCTTTACAAGTTCCTAAGATATTATCGCAGTGAGTTTTACAATTTTCGGAACATATTTTTTGACATCTGCGACCGTAAGTTCCTTTAGAACATTCTATAAGATTTTTCAATAATTTTAGNCAGGACATTCTATACGATTTTTCAATGTTTTCATGTTTTTAAATATGAAAAATGCTTCAAATTATATACAAACCTTGATTGCATAAAGGTCCAGTGTATCCAGCTGCACAGGAACATCCATAACTATATGTGCAAAACAACATATTCTTACAAAAAGTCTTCTTTTGTGAACACCTGGCAGAACAATCAGCTCCATATTTATTTTTACTGCATTCTGTAAACAAAATTAAATAGGTTAATTGTTTTTGAATAATTTTAAATAGTTATCAATATAAATACCTATAGATGAATTGGTATTCGCAGTCATTATCTGAGTTTTACCTATTTAAAATTTAACATAAAATACTACTCCGAAAAAGAAATTTATAAAAGAGTCATTGATTAGAAATTAAAATTTTGTTATTTTATTTACTTGGATATATATACATTGTAGGAGTTAGGCTAACCTTTTCTGTATTGTTTATTTCATAAACATCTTCTACTTCTAATTAAACAAAAAATAAATGAATTGGTTATTTGATGTAAAATCAACGATTAAATTATTTATAATTTATATAAGTTCCCGAATATAAGTAACATTATATACTTACTACCAGAATCTGTACATTGAGCTATTCGTTTTAGGCCAAATACTGAATAATCATCGTAATTATATTTGTTAATAGTTAAATAATACTTTTTATTTTTTTCAAATGATCTATTAAATTTCATTATCAATGTTTTAAATTCATTATCCTAAAAAAATAGTTCGGTTAATATTAGATGAATTAGTTATAAACAATATATACATGAACCGCCAAGAACGATAAAAAATAGGAAATATTTTAGATGATAATCTGTCCAAAAAAATAATTTAGAATAATTTTAATGGTACCAAGCAGTATTTAATAAAAATTAAAACCTCTCAGTAAAGTGATCACTTAAATTTTCTTAACCATTTAAAAGCCAATACAGTTATAATATTTTGGNACTTAACTATTTAAAAGCTAATACAGTTATAATATTTTGGTGAACAATTGCTGTATTAATTTGGACAATTAATACTTTTATCGTTAACCATTCTTTCTGAATATTTAATTAAAAATAGTTATTTACATAGAAAAGTATAAAATATAATATAATTTTCTTTATTCAGTAGTATCCTACATATTTCAATTAGTACCAAGAATATAGTTTTACCCACTTTAAAATTGTATCCATTTAGTTTTACACAAAAATATTTAACTAACACAAGAGTGTCCATAAGATAACTTTCAGGGAGAGACAAAGTAATTATTATTTTTTGCTTATGATCTGAGATTTTTTTTTTTTCAAAAAATTGAAATATTAATTTAAATGAGCAGGAATCACAATTTGTATGGTAAATAATGTATGATTTTTATCTCACTGTGTCTTCTAGCTTATATTCTTCTAATAATTCATAATCCCCATATATTCTTAAAAGCCAGATTGCTGATGAGTCATATCTAGATATTACTTTGAAATACGTCATTGATATACATCCTGTCGCAGTTTCATCTTGAATCCAATCAATGTTAAATGATTTGTCATGTTCATAGCTTTTAATCATTAATGAATTACCTTGTACAAATATTTTTCTGTATCCATCTATTAAATAAATAAATAAATACTAATTTATACTTAGAAGTTTTCGAAATTATTACTTTAGGTGTTATATTTACATAATCTATTGAATTTATGGTGCTAATTATTTAGAATACTACCCTAATTTTTGTTAATACATGTTTTTTTGAAAAAATATACTTAAGATAATTTAAATTATTTGTATAAACTTTGTTAAATATTATGTATATTTAAAATTATTTCTAAGGGTAATTTTTAAAGATAACTTTTGATAGGTAAATGGGAATGCATAAATATTTATAATATTAGATGGAAAAAGGACTTAATACACTTTCGAATGTTCGATGATTAGTTTTTGAGATATTAACATTTAAAGATCTAAACGAGGTAAAGAGTGTGTAAGAACATTTATTACTATGTTCTTACCACTTATATTACACACGTTTTATTTCTATTTATTTAATTCATAATACATATTAATTAGCATAGATGGAGATGCTGATGTGATAATTCTACTCGTCTGTAGCCCGGAGCTACTGACGTCGAACTAACAAAGGGCAGTTGTGTTTGAGTGGCCGTTATAGACATAGTTTTCAATATTATTACTTACGTCTTATTTATATTATTTATAACTTAACTTGTTTTATTCAACGACTCGTCTATCGCCAATTGTCATCATAGCTAACCAACTCCGTCTCACTTGGATATACCTACTAACCAACTGTACTAGGATTCAGGTCAGACGTATTGTACATTACATATAACGTATATTTACTGAACATCTAAAATATAACTTTACTTTGTCGTTGAAATATAATACAATAGTCTAATTTTATTTAATAATCTATCCCCTGTAACTAAGGTACACGATTGCCTGTGTCTCCTTCGGGCAATTAAAACTCATTTAAGGAGATAGGGACGATATTTGGGCAGACGTCGGGTAGCTTCCGATTCTTGGTTTTGACCAAGATCCTCAACTNTAGCTTCCGATTCTTGGTTTTAACCAAGATCCTCAACAATTAAACAAGCCCCTAACAAGTGGAACCCTTAACCTGCCTACAGAGGGGGATTTAAAATGACAACTTTTTCACAAAAAATTAACTTTTTCAACTTAACTTTTCAAAGTGTTCCGGAAAGTCTGACACTTTTATATATACAGTGTATGTTCCATAAGTAATGCGTCGCATTTTTTTCTGAAGCGACTATTCGTCCGATCCACTTGCTCTAAGCGGGAGTCGATGGAGTTGGAAGTTAGCTACGCATCGCCGCCAAGAGCAGTTCGCTCTGTGACCTTGGAGCTGTAGGACGTGCGTTTTAGTGACGCTCTGCGCGAGCGCCTCGTCGTGGTTACGATGGAGAAAAGTTTAGAACAAAGATACGCGATAAAGTTTTGTGTGAAACTGAAGAAGACGCCGCTCGAGACTTACGGAATGCTTGCGGAGGCTTACGGGGATGCTTGCCTGTCAAGATCGCAGTCGAACCGGTGGCACAAGAAGTTTACAGAAGGTCGGGAAGAGGTCGCCGACGAACACCGCGAAAGACTCCCGTCATCGTCGCGCTGTGACGAAAATGCCGCTCGTGTGCGAAAATTACTGAACACTGATCGCCGAATGAGTTTGCAAATGTTGGCAGACGCATTAGATATTCCTAAAACCTCCGTTTACCGCATTGTTACGCGAGATTTTCAAATGCGCAAGGTTTGCGCGAAACTCGTACCGAAGATTTTGACTGACGATCAGAAGCAAAATCGTGTGCTGTTGTGTCAAGAACTCAACGATCTCACTGACGTTGATCCCAGTTTTCTCGATAACGTCATTACGGGAGACGAAACTTGGGTTTTCGAATATGATCCTGAGACCAAGCGCCAAAGTTCGGAGTGGCACACCGACGAGTCGTCGCGTCCGAAGAAGGCCAGGATGAGCAAGTCGCGGATAAAATGGATGTTGATTGTATTCTTCGACAAAAGGGGGGTAGTGCATAAGGAGTTTGTGCCAGCTGGACAGACTGTAACCGGTCAGTTTTACAAAGAAGTGCTTATTCGACTGAACAACCGAGTGACGCGCGTCCGAAAGGAGATCAGCAAGAACTGGCGGCTGCATCACGACAACGCGCCTTCTCACACCTCGTTCGTTGTCACCAGCTACCTGGCCAGGATCGGTGTCGCAACAGTGCCCCAGCCTCCTTACAGTCCCGATCTGTCCCCCTGTGACTTTTTTTTATTCCCCCGAATGAAAAAAGACTTGAAAGGAACCCGTTTTTCTACGATAGAGGACGTCCAATCTACCACGACGAGGATTCTTGACAGCATCCCGGTTGAGGAGTGGCAGGGGGCGTACGCTACATGGAAATCTCGCTGGATTAAGTGTATTAATGCTGAAGGATAGTACTTTGAAGAATATTAAGTAATTGTACCATTTTGTTCAATAAATTTCTTTTAAAAAAATGCGACGAATTACTTATGGAACGTACCCTGTATCTTAAATTAAAGCTAATGTTATGTACTTAATTATGAAAAAAAAAAAAATTCGGAAGTTATTTTGTCTTCATGGTGAAAACAGTCATCAAAATTAATAAAAAAATACGATTTTTTTAAAACAATTCTTTTTTATATTTTTAACTTTATAATGCTAAAATTTATTGAAAAGTGTATGGATCAACACAATTTTTTTATGAGAAATAATATTTATATCCCTTTCTTATTCGACTTACTTTATCTTAAGCAGGATATTAATAAAGAAATAGCAGATCATGAAGCTTTTGGAATAATCCACCAATGTTTTAAAATTAAACACTATCTAAACATTTGCATCGAAGCGTTTTTTTTTTATAGTGATTTTAATCACTGTCAGATATCATTATACTTGATCCAACTATGCCATGACACCACTGTGCCGCGACCCCTCTGTGCTGGGTTTTTATAACTGTTCTTACAGCTTCCGATTGTTCTATCATCATAACATGACCGAACCATCTAAGTCTATTTTGTCTCATTTTATCCACGATTGATGCTACACCTATATCCCACCTATATGCTTGTTTCTTATTCTATCTTCTCTAGTCACTCCACTCATCCAACTAAGCATTCTCATCCCTGCTACACTCATTCTCTAATCTACTTTCTTGTCAACCGCCTAACACTCTGAACCATATATCATAGTTGATTTCAAAACACTCTTGTAGAATACACCACCAATACTTTGCACAACTGACCCTAAATACTTAAAACTCTCTACCTCTCCAATCACGTCCTCGCCTATTTTCACGAACCTCATCATTTCACCTACCACGTGTTCTCCTTTGTCAAACTCGTACTCTATACAGGGTGATTTTTTTATCATAACCCACTCAATTACTTACAGAATAATAATAATATAATTTTTTTTTTTATTACTATCTTTAGTTACACATTATTCTTGAATTATTAACTATGTAATACTTTTTAAGTTCATAAAATGTTTGAGTTTTTAATTCAATAATAAATGGCATTTGAATTTTTAATAAAACTTAATTTGTTTATTAGATATAAACATTTAAAGTTTCAAATTTTTGAGTTAATATATAGGTATAATACACAAGGGATTACAAATACAGGTAGCTAATTGGTTTTTTATGATATCGCTATCACAGTCACGGTTTGTTTATTATCAATTATGACCAATAGATATACTTTTTGTATTGTCAGTTAGTGCATTTATAAACTCACAACAATGCACCTTACTATCATTGATAATAACAATGCTGTGTACCTGCTAATATCGATGTCATAAAAAATCAATTAGCTACCTGTATTTGTAATCCCTTGTGTATTATACCTATATATTAACTCAAAAATTTGAAACTTTAAATGTTTATATCTAATAAACAAATTAAGTTTTATTAAAAATTCAAATGCCATTTATTATTGAATTAAAAACTCAAACATTTTATTAAATTAAAAATATGTGTTACCATTTAAAAAAACAAAGTTGACACCCTTACCAGGCATAAGGGATGAACTTAAAAAGTATTACATAGTTAATAATTCAAGAATAATGTGTAACTGAAGATAATAATAAAAAAAATGTTTTAAATTATTATTATTCTGTAAGTATTTGAGTGGGTTATGATAAAAAAATCACCCTGTATACTCTGTCTTACTTTTACTTATTCTTAAACCCCTTTTTTCAAGAGCTGATTTCCAAACTTCTAGCCTTTGATTAATTTTTTCCCTATTTTCTCCTATTAACACTATATCATCAGAACACAACATGCACCACGGCACCTTTCCTTATATTTCTCTAGTAATTTCATCCATCACTATAGAAAATAAGTAAGAGCTTAAAGCAGAACCCTGATGCACTCCTACTCTTACCCGAAAACCTTCTGTTGCTCCTTCCACACTTTTTACCCTAGCACAAGTGCCATCATACATATCCTCTACTATATTAATGTACCTTTTCGGTACTCCTTTTCTCGTTAATGCCAACTTTAGAACCTCCCTCGGTACTCTATTATACACTTTCTCAAAATCTATAAATACCATACAAAGCTTTTTCTTCTTTTCCCTAAACATTTCTATCAGTTGTCTCATTATTTTGTGTGAGACAACTCTCACACAAAATAATGGCTCCATTGTTGACTTACCAGGCATAAACCCAAACTATGAAAATACTAGTAAAATTCGGCGGTGTAACAAAACTATATTCGCCACACGCATAACAAAATTTATTGAGGTTATTCTTACACTTATATTGACGTTTTTTCGAACTCATTTTTATCTTTATTAAGAATAAACGTAAAATAGTTATATGGATTATTTAAATATCATAAAAAAAATGAATATATTAATAGAATATAGAACGCTTCTATAACCAAAAAAATTTATCCTTTTTATTTCAAATGACAAAATGTTCAGTGCTACCAATTAGTAATGAGCAGTGAGGCCAAGCGCGAAGTTTTTTGTTCGTAATTCAAAATTTCATTTTGAAAAAAATAACCTTTAGTTATTTAAAAAATCGAAATTTTGTATTGAAATGTAGTATTGTATATAATTTTTCTATATTTTACAAAATTAAAGCATCGAATCAAAAAACTCTGATATTAGAAAATTTGTTTTATTTTTCAATCGCGCATAACTTCTTCATTTTTTTATCAATTTTACAAATTAATATATTATTTTCTTTGTTACGTATTAGAGTATAACGTCTATTGAAATTATTATTGATAAATTTATTTTTTATCGTTGTATTTTACGTAAAACTCTGAATTTTTTCTGACATTTTGAAAAAAATGTTAAAAATTCGGTGGTAAATTCGTAGATAGCAAACGACAAAAAAGTCAAATAAAAAATTATAGGTAATTTAATATTGTTTAATTTTTTGTAAACAAAATGAAAATCGGTTGAGTGGAATTAAAGATATTTAGAATATAATTAAAAAGTTTTTTTGCGATACACGAAAAACGCTAATTTCGCAATAACTCAAAAACTGTTTTACTTTTTGTATTTTGGACTTCTTTTTCGGACTTAGTGGACAATTTTACATAAAAAATAACTATCATAAGTCATAGGTCAGAATTTTTTTTTTTATTTGTAAACTAGTGATATGTAATGGTCATAATAAACTATGAATATTTTGTCTTTATTACTAATTATATTTTTTTACTGCCTTCTTTAGAAATCTAATAGGGTAAAAACATTTAGGTATAAGGAATATTTATCAAAGTACTTTAGACAGATGATGAACTTGGAAAAACAGAAATTTAAAATTGTTGAAAGGTAACATATTTAACCCATAAACAATAATCTATTTACTTCAAATATGACAAATGCTGGCATTAATACATCTTGAAGTTTTTATCACCTTTGGTATGTTTATTATAAACTCTAATATTTTATATGATAATTTCAAAATTTGTACTTCAAATGTAAAATAAATTTTTTTTACCTTTAATGTAAAGCTAAGAAGGTATCAATTTTACTGTAATGTGTTTATTAATTATTTTATCATACGTAAAAAGATCACACATCGTATCTAGTTAAATATGTTGTATGAAAAACTCCCTTGTTCCATGTAAATAGTGGAATACCCAAAAAATGTTGATTTTTAATCAGTAAATTTCGTAATTTTTATAAACATTACGTCAAATTAACAAATTGTATCTGTCATCGCAATTATTGTCTACTTTTCTTTTACTAGTTAAAGAATTAACTAGTATTTAAATAAAAATTAGGCAGTTATAACCAGCTAAATACTCCAAATAAATTGTGATGAATCAGATAATCCACATGACAATGTCAAAATATTAGTTGATAAGAAATGTTGATGTAAATTGATTACACAAACACAATTAGATACAATTTATTTAAGTAAAAAAAAATATTATTTAATAAATTTAACTTACAGTGATAATTTTCATAACTATTTGAGATGGTGTAGTATTTCGAATCGTATTCCACATGATTTTTTGAATATATACTATTTGGATAAAAAGAATCGACAATAAACTCAAGACTTTTTTTTCCTGATTTCAGAACTCGTCCATCAAAATATATTGGCAAGCTTAGGGCATTAGTTCGAGAATGTATTTCTGCATTATTGCAGTATACATAATTTCCTTCGTAAATAATTGAAAATATGTTATCGTCTATTTAAAATAGTAGACAGCGAAATTAGAATAATTACTTCCAAAAAATAAATAACAAACAACTGTAAACTCTTACATGAATATAAATAAGTGAAATTTTCATTTAATTTGCATACCAGTGTAATATCGTAAGAATCTAAAAAGAGAATTTTAAATAATAAAAAAAAAATGATAAAAGTGGAAAGGGTTACTGTAAATAGTTGTTTCATTATTAGGACATTTGAAGTCAGCTAAGGTTTGATTGAGTAAAACACGTCTTATATTAAAAAAAAAAAACTCCTCTAATTTAATACAAAAAAAAATTGCCTGACTATATTTATTGTCCATTGACAATAACTTAAATTATTAAACGAATAAAATGTTAAATACCATTGTATTATACGGAAATATAAAACTTAATTTACGATTCTCTTAAAATTTGAAAATACAGAGTAGCCTCCTTTTATTTTTTTGCAAACCTTTTACTTGTGACTTTAAGATTATTAATTTGTATAGAACTTAAAAAAAGTGTATTCTTTGAATAATTTACTGAATTTAATATTTAATCATTTTAATTACCTGTATAAGTATCAACCAATTTATGAAAGACTATAGATTCGGTCGATTTGCATATAAGAAAACTATATATACCTAACAAAATAAAATCGATTTTCCTAAAAAGTACACTTTTTAAATCCATTTTGTTCATTGAGTGGCTTCCAGTTTTATATCGCAGATCTGTAGATTAAAATAAGTTAATGATTATGAACAAAATATAAATTTAAAAGATAACCCAAAAGCTGATTATCTAGAAAAATGTTTTTTTTTATAATATATATAGAGATTGATGCTTTCTGTCACACAAAAATAAGTTAATGCCAAATTTATTGAGAGGGTTTGTTTTTTGAACTTTAAAAATGTCGGTTTACATAAGGCATTAGATAATTCAGATCCTGAGACAAATCATAATTACAAGCCTCTATGCCAGAAAGAAAAATGTTGAAATTAGATAGATTTTCCTAGTAAAAATGATTACATGGTGAATACAAATTTTTTTTTGTTTGGAAGAGCTATTAAAAATAAATTAAACTCAGACAACGCCATTGACTTGTGTATAACACTATGAAACGCAGTGCCAGGGTCTCGTATTCTGCTCGTCGTGACTTTGTGCCGGTACACGACACCATTAAAATTTTAAATTTACAATTATTCTTCTAAAAAATTTTTAAAATTTGCTTATCAGATTTTGGAATATAACCACAGAATTATACGTATAAATGAGTATTGTTCCCAACATAAATATTTGAAAAAACCATAATCACATTTCTTATAGATATAACTGTTGATCTTCTAAACTACTTTTTTTTTAATAATTTGATGCTCTATGATACATAATTTGGTTTATTTCTTCATGTATGTATATATATATATATATATATAGATATTTATGTACACTATGTTTCATTTATCATGAACCAAAATCAGAATAATATTGATAATTTTTTTATTGGTTTCTTTCAGTTTAATGTTTAACTGAATTTATCAATCATATAGTATTTTTTATGTTTATGCCTTAAATCTTATAAGAATGACAACTTTTATTTTTCTAATGGCGACACAAATAATTATTAATTAACAATAATAACTTTTGGACCACTATTTTAGAAGTTCTTAACAATTTAAAGTAATGACTAGAGTTAAAAAGTATTTATAAAATGTTGCTATTTTTATAACTTGATATTTCCCAACATTCCTATTCCTCCCTTTGGAATCTTATATTCTAATAATTTAAAAAAAAAAGTATGTCGAATAAAAAAGGGATATAAATATTATTTCTCATAAAAAAATTGTATTAATCTATACACTTTTCAATAAGTTATAGCATTATAAAATTAAAAACCCAGCACAGGGGGGTCGCGGCACAGTAGTGACGTGGCATAGTTGGATCAAGTATAATGATATCTGACAGTGATTAAAATCACTATAAAAAAAAAACGCTTCGATGCAAATGTTTAGATAGTGTTTAATTTTAAAACATTGGTGGATTATTCCAAAAGCTACATGACCTGCTAGTTCCTTATTAATATCCTGATTAAGATATAGTATGTCCAATGAAAGATGTATATAAATACTACTTCTCATGAAAAAAAAAAATTATATTGATCAATACACTTTTCAATAAGTTATAGCATTATAAAATTAAAAACCCAGCACAGGGGGGTCGCGGCACAGTAGTGACGTGGCATAGTTGGATCAAGTATAATGATATCTGACAGTGATTAAAATCACTATAAAAAAAAAACGCTTCGATGCAAATGTTTAGATAGTGTTTAATTTTAAAACATTGGTGGATTATTCCAAAAGCTACATGACCTGCTAGTTCCTTATTAATATCCTGATTAAGATATAGTATGTCCAATGAAAGATGTATATAAATACTACTTCTCATGAAAAAATTGTATTGATCCATACATTTTTTAAAAAGTTATAGCACTTTAAAGTAAAAATTGTAAATTATAAAATCGAGAATTTTCACACAAAAATAGCACTCGGTAGCCGTTTTCACCATGAAGACAAGTCCAGAGGTCAAACTTTTTTTTTTCAAATTAAAGTACATTACATTAACTTTAATTTAAGATATATATAAAAGTGTCAGACCTTCCGGAACATTTTCAAAAGTTAAGTTGAAAAAGTTGTCATTTTAAATCCCCCCCGTGGGCAGATAAAGGGTCAGATTTACAAAAACGAAGGAAATTTTTTCAATTTTTGAGGGTAATGTCTTTGACTAGATACGATTTGTGATCTTTTGACGTATCATTGAAAGAAATCTGTTCGGTGAGAGCTGAAAAAATGTGGTAACAGACACAAAAAATAAAAAATTAAAATTAAAAAAAACACACATCATTGTAAAATTAATACCTTTTCAGCTTTGCATCGAAGCTAAAATAAAGTGGATAACCTTATAAGGTATACGGGATTAACATAAAAATACTTTATGATTGACAAATTAAGAAATGTATTAAGTTATGTATTAACTTCCTATGCTATAAAATACTAAGTAGTTATTAATTTCATTAAAGATAAAATTTTCTACGTATTCTAATTATATTTTGCATAACTAAATATTTATATACAATATATATATAAATATTTCATGTATATTATAGATTAAGAAAAAAACGAAAATATTAAAAAGCAAAAATGTATGGACACATACCTTTGTGGATTTGACGTGAATTCGCTGAACAGTAATTTCGATAATGAAAAATTAAGCGTGAAAGCATAAAAAAATATAATATTAATTATTTTAGTAATTGAAATGTGATTAGACAACGATTATCTATACTAATAGATAACCGTAGAATAGACCAAAGTGTATTTGATATTAGTAAATCGGACATTGAAGTCATTAACTATTTAAATTAATATGAAAGAGATAACCTTTGTTGTTTGATTTATTATGTTGTTTTCAATGAAATAGTATTTTCATAAACTATTACGATATTCTATTAATTTTTATAAACCAACATTTTTATTTGTTTTCAATACACAATGTTCTTTTTTTATATTCGATCAGTAACTGAAACAGTAATGTTTTTATTGTGTTTATATTTTTGTTTGGTACAAAATATCAGAAATACCTAACAAGATATTTCGTTATGTCTCTATGACCGGTTCCCTGTGACGAGTGCTTGTCTCCATTAATTTTCCGTCACTTTATTCGTTTCGCGTATGTCCTGTACGTCTATGGTGTCCGATTTGTCACTCCTCTGACAACTGACGTGTGACATTAACAAATTGTACATGTTTTTCGCTACACCCGCCCGTTGTTAATGTTTCTGTTAAGGTAATTTTATTCGATATACGTCCTCTTAAGCATCTATTGCCATCGACCTATGACATAATTAGCCTGATTTGATAGAAACCCCTTTGGTTAAATTACAATTCGAGTGTTTGTTCAATTTTGCGAGCTCGACTTGTACCGAAGTCCTCCAATGAAGTTTGTATTCTCGAAGCATGTCTTGGTCGTCTTTGCACTGAGCGCCACCGAACGTATAAAAGTAAGCCATTTTCAGGCCAATCGAATTATTAGATGTCTCTGTTTGACATTTTTCATCAGTAAATCACTTGTCAGTAAATTCTGTATATAACTTTGAATAAGTTACAGTCTATTTAGACAAAAATTGTTTATTACTAATTCATTGTTTTATTTACTACTCTTTAAATAGTAAAATTTCATTTAATTAACTTTTGTCACTTTAGAGATTGTATTGTTCATATGTATCAAAGACTGTTTCTCATACATTGCGTGTAGTTGAATTGTTGGTTACTCGTTGTACTATATGCAATCATAAGTTAATTTCATAAAATTTCATTTGTCAGAAATATTATTTGTTAATTACTCCATCTATTGTGTTTTTATTGAACTATTTTAAGTGTAAGACTCAATACCACCCACATGCATCCTATCAGTCATTTTGGTACTTATCTAAAACCAGCTAGACGAGTCTACACTCAAACGCAGTTGCGTCTTAATATTCGTGTCGCACAGATTTTATTTTATTTATAAAATAAAATTCTATTTTTAAGCGAGAGGAATGGACTCGATGCGATGCCCAGTTGATACAGTGTCTTTTGTTTCAATATACGCATAATTATGTATTTGTCTTCCTCGGTATAAATTTGTATTAATTAATGTGCTTAAAACTATTGTATGTATTCAATTAAAAAGTTATCATCATCTAATTCAAGTTTAGATATACTATTGCAAATTAACATCATATTTTCTCTTAATTGCCAGTGTTGTTAAAATAATATATTTTTTTTTTTGAACCGATTTATAACATAAGTAAACAGTTGAAAACGTTTAAAACGTCCCATAAGACCAAAGTATCGTATTTTCCACCGTACGACTGAACACACACTTAAGTATTAGTATTTAAAACTAGAAGAAAACTTTATGGAAGTCTTGTCTGTCAAGATTAACAGAAGTACACACACGAAAAGTTAAGTTTAATAATGACAAAATAAAATATTATATAGTATTTTATAATGCACATTTCAAAAATACAATAAAATAAAATCGTTACGGTCATAGTTTCCCTTGGCAGCGACTCGACGGACTCGTCTACAATTTAGATCATTCATACTTAATTACAAATGTCCTACTGAACTAAGTATAAATTAGTCAATGTTTGAAAATCATAACAATAATAAATAAACTACGTGTATTCTGCACATACTGTAAATGTAAAATATAGGAGAGGGACTCTTTGGATTCCCCACTAGGGTTTACGTTCCGACAAGGGTCCATATATGTATATACATATCGAAATATTTATCGAATCATCTCACAGCAATTTGCAAGAAAAAGGAAATAAGTAAATTTACGTATGTTATCCCAATTATTTAGAGTTAATAAGTTTGAGTAAAGGATGACAAAGCAATAGAATCTATTGCTTTGTAATCCTTTATTAATTTAATAAATCATCTATTGAATAGTAATTTTTTTTATAACATTGACTAGTTAACTCTTCCTCTTTATCCTCTCCTTAATCCCAACTATTTGGGTCAGCCAAACATTGACTATTAATTGTAAAATCAATAAAACAATTCATTCAAATAACAAATATTTAATTTTTTGTATATAATTTTATAAATATTACAAATACGATAATATTTTATATTNGTATAATTTTATAAATATTACAAATACGATAATATTTTATATTATTATAAATTGTAAAAATATATGTTGTAAAATAAAGGTAAGTATAAAGTATGTTGTATAACTGAAATAATATCATAAAATAAAAAAAATAACATGTTTCCAATTATTTGGAACTTTTCATTAAAGAAATCTGTCAACAGGACCTATATTTTTGTATTTCCTAGACTCCTCTACGAGTTCTCTTGTTACTTCTGTTATTCCAGTTTTTGCGATTTGATATTTGATGTTTAAATGATATTCCTACCGAACTCAGCCAATAATTATTAATAAAACTTTTTGTCTCTATCGAATGACCCTTTTCAACAAAACCAATTCATAAATATTGTCATCAAACTATATTGTTTGAATTTTATGTAGATGAAGTATACTCTAGAATGTACAAACGGTGTTTGTATAACAAATACAATTATTCTTAAAAACATCCACATTTTATACTTTTAAAAAACATCATTTTTGGAGATAACCATGTAACCGGGTTTCCTTTGTAAAAGATCAATTAAGATTGATGATTTTAAGTGGTCGTAATTGTGAATAGATGTAGCGCAAAATTAATTTTCTATAATACATTTAACATTATTGTATGGTACAGAACGCCTTTAGAAGGATCTAGTTGACCAGTTGTTACAAAGATCATTGATTATATTATTTCATGGGACAGCTGATCACCAGCATCTTGCTTTACTCACCCCCTTGCCCACCCATCACGGCAAATCGATGACCTCCGTGTCAGTTTTCATCCGTGTGCAGTTCATTGTCGTAAGTCAGTCTGTCGATTGTTTTATGTGTCTCTCTTTTCTGTTTTCTGTTGCAAGCGCCTTCGCTTGAACAGTAAATTTGTTCGGCCGTTGTACGCCATAGTTTTTATTATTTGTTGTTGCACCCTTGTGCTCAAGTTTTCGTGCCCTTGCACACCACCAGTGATTCTGCTCTGACCATCACTAGATATCTTCATTGCCATAGTCGCTTTTCACCGTCTGTTCTCATCTGCAATTACGTGTCTGGATCTACACTCTGACTCGTGATACTCAGATGTTTGACACCATTACCTCAAGTACTCATACAGTCCACTCATCACTATCAACAACGTCATCTATACAGCTGAGTTTTATATTATTTTTTAATGCTATTTATTGTTTGTTTTAATTGAGATTAACTATTTTGTTTTATGCCGCTTCGCCGGCCACTAGTATTTAAGGGCTCCCCGTTGCCCCTTAAATTTAAGATACTCTCTGAGGAATTTCTAATATATGTGATTATTTGTTATTTAATTATTGTCTACTCTATTAGTAGACAATATTGTAGAATTTTTCTAAAAGTGGCCACATTATATTACACACTTTATTGTTTTTTCAATTTTATCAATTACCATACCTAAAAGTACACCATATTAATAAATGTTTGAAGTCGTACATTTAAGTAACTGCCTTATATATATTGTTTTTTTACTTTATTTTACATTTACATTGTCCTGTTATTTGATTATCAAGCAATTTATGAGTGTGTACATTTCAAACGTGTTGAAATAAAAAGCTCATCACATAAGTTACTTAATCAGGCATTTATAAAATACAATATGAAAGTTGTAATAAATGTTACATAGGAAATAAAAAGAAATATAGAGGTCAGATTTAAAGAGCAGTTAAGAAATATTAAAAATCAAGAAGTTGAGAAATCTCCAGTGGCTGAACATTTATTGACACATAATCACTCCATTAAAACCATAAAACTAATTAAAAACGTAAATAATTACAAAGAACTTAATATCAGAGAAGCAATAGAAATTTTTAAAAATAAAAACAGTTTAATTAATTGGGATCTTGGCCCACTGAAAAATTCATTATTAAACTTGTGTAAACTGGCAAAATGTGATAATATTACTTAGTGATGACGTCACTAGGGGTATATAAGGGAGTTTTTTCTAGTCGGGATGTCAGTATGTGTTTAGCGTTGATAATGGTAACATTGTTTCCGAAATACGTATCCGCGATTTTTCATTAATTTTTTGTGACTTTGAGTTTAATATTTTTTAGTTTTTATAAATTAATAATATTTTTAATATAGTTTTAATTTTACTTAATTAATTAGCCACAAGTGATCAATTTTTATTATATAAGTAAATCTTTTTAACAATTTTTTTTTTTTGGCTCTTTTAGTTAAAGTAAATCATTAAAATTAATTAAGTTCTGAATATTTCAACTGTAGAATCTTTTTAAACACGAAAAGTTAATTAGAAATGATTTCTATGTAAGTGATCTATTACGATAAAAATACAAAAAATTCGAGCTTTTCTGATAAATTTACTGTAAATTTGTAAAAATTTATCAAGGCAATATTGCATTGGCACAATTATCACCAAGACAAAAAATTCAACAATAAAAAATGTCTCCGTAAGTTTCATCGCGTTGTCGAGAAAGACATTAAGCTCGAGTCTAGCTACCTAGTTCGTATAGGCTTACAAATATACTTAACTTAATATATCTAGTTTCAGAATAATATCTAGTTGAAATCTTTACTTTTGTCTGCCGAGGCGAT